ACGTTACTTATATAAATACAGCTTTGATAAATATTGGGCCAGAATTGCCAATACTATAGGCCTATGTTCCATCCCAGGCAGTGGCCGCAGCTGAACAGCTACGCCATTCCTTTCATTATTTTGGATGGGGGCTGTACCCACGCTGTATTGCTCAGTACGAAAGTACTACAAATAGTATGTCTGCTAACTGAATATTAGGACACCTGACGTGCATATATAATGAATCTTTAACAACTGTGTTCCCTAAGCTCGGTATTGTTCAAACACCCTTAGAATTAAAAAAAAAAAATAAATAAAAAAGTCTGTGTTCAAACGTTGGGGGTATTGGTGGTTCAGATGGCAGGGAGAGGAAAACGAAGGAAGGAGTATAAAGAGCTCTCTCTTCCCCTGAATTTTTCTATGCATCTGCCATTGACTCTGACAGATAATCCCAGGCCACGCCGCTGTAACACGGGGAAGGGATTTCTGTTTTCACTTTGTCCTGTTCATCGCCTTTCACACACTTGGTTATTTTGTTTAAGCACATTTGAAACTAGAAATGAAAGGTGAGACAAACACTTCTTTTGGTGTTAAAGAAATTCACAATGATAACAGCTTTAAAAACAAAATACCGCACACCCCCCCCGACTTTAATGTGTGTTCATTTCAAATACATTGGGATCCAGCAGCCTCACAAACCTGCTTCTTGATAAAACCATTTTAGCGCCTGCTCTGTTTAACTTTAAGCCCATGTGCCTCAGCTGGAGCAGGGCAGTTGCTAACATGTTTATGGATTTGCTGGTGAGTGACCAAGCAGTGAAAACATGCATAATTACCCATTTGTAAATTATTGCTTTTTTTGTCATGCATCCAATTATTGCAGTAGTTGTTAGATGTAGTTTACACATACACACACAGAGAGAAAAAACGCAACACAAACAGTCCTCTCTGAACAAGAACATATAATTATACTTACCCCTTCTTCTCCTACTCTATGAAGAGTGAAGAAATGCAAATCTTCCTTACACTGGCCAAAAACCCCAACAACAGCCACCTCACCTACCACCACCCGACAACCTATAATAAAAGCCTATAGACAACACTTCTGTAGTGCCTCTTGTACGTTACATGCGATCTACTTTTCCCCTTTTCCACATTTGGCTGAGGCCAACTAAGTCTTTTTTCACATCCACGCCCCCTGCGTCATTGGGTGGCCTTTTTCTTTAAAATTCAAAAATAGGGGAAAAAAGTTTCTTTAGTGGCTAAACTTGGCTTCATGTACAGCCCTGGGGGCTACAACAGCCTGTAAGCTGCTGAAGACTCATCAAGACGGATGGCTGTGTGGTTTAATAAGGCTACAGCTGGATTCTCATTATCCTGAAGCTCATGGCCTTCATCTTGTATAAGGAGCACTGACTTTCTCGTCAAAGATGAGCTGGATAGAGCTGCGTGCTTACATTTGCTTGAGGACATGGAGGTGTCACGTCCCCCTCACCCCCTGCTTTCTCCATCCCTGTGCTCCTGGCTTTTGGGCTAGCAGGGCTGGTAAGGTGCCGTGGTGTTACAGGTGGAATAACAATGTTGTCCATGAACCTGTAGCACCGAACAGCTGATCATGCCCTGGATCAAGAGCTTTGCACTTTCTGCCACATGTACTTCATACTGTTTGGTCATCAGTGCTGATCTGGAAGAAGAGCTGTTAAAATGGAGATGACAGTTTTAGAAAGTTTTTGAAAAGTACGAGGAAATGTTTGCATCTTTTTTTTTTTCTATTAATAAATACATCCTATACTTATCACCTTACAAGCAACAGTAAGATAGTCAAATTGAGGCATTAAAAATTACATTTAGACTCTGAATATCTTATTTTCTTTACACCTTAACTTTTGCTGTGCTTGGCACGCACTTACCACCCAAAAAACAACCCGTGGGAGGACCGTTTTATCCTTTTATCTTAGTGCTCATGGGCTTCAGGGCACAAATTAAAAAGCCCGTTAGAGGGACAGCAGACTTTCTGGCCATGGTGTGGGAGCACGCGTGTGGCTGGGTGTGAGCACGGGCCAGGAGCACATGCCTGCTCCAGCAGTGAGAGAGGCTTCTGCAGTGGGCTGTCCGTGCACTGCCAACACGACTAACAGGAGCGGCTGCTTTTTGGTCAAACAGTAGGTACGATTCCTCAATGTGCTAACCTGCAAGTCACATATAGTTTCTTTTTCTTTGTGTCCTTCTTCACCCCACCCCACCACTCAAAAAATAATGACCACCTTCTTGTGATGACTCCATTATCAGATACTTATAGACCTCCATATATATGTGTCTGTATATCCACATACATATGTATGAGTGTACGTGTTGATGAGCAAAAACACACACACACACTCTCTCTCTATCCAATATATGAGTTACCAAAAAAAAATTTTTTAGCCTGTATTAATTGTGCATGCAATTAATGAAAAAGCTGAAATTCCTTTTTCTTTTCCCCTTTTGTTGTCTTTTGAGAAAAGTGTAAGAATTATTAATAAAGATCAAAAACTTATTTCTACATCAGTCATTATGTGGCCTGTCAGCTGCCTCTTAGGCCACTTTCCCAGCCACTTGCCCCGATGTAACTTCATATATGCAAATATCGGTGCTGGCCTTACTGTAATCTGTAATGGCTGAATGTCAAAGATCTCCAACAGGTTTTCTACACGTTCCTCCAAATGCCAGAAGTCAGTCCTGCATCTTTGATCATCAGAAAGAGGAGTAAGAAAAGATTATTGGTTGCTCTTAGCTTTTCTATAAATGGGAAACACAAAACGATAACTATACTTGTTTCTGTCCGTCTCGCTTGCTCTCTTACAGGTGTTTTTCTGTCTATGCATATGGAACTACCTGGGCTGGGAGAGAGTGTGAGTGTATTCAGATCTTGCCCTTTATTTATGTACAGTTGGCAGCATGGTATTTTTGGGTGTGACAGTTAAACTGGACAGAGACACACACAAACCTTAGCTACGCAGGAGTATTGTATTATTTGATTCATTAGTATGTTTTACCCACTGAATGCTCACTTCTGAAGGAAGGGCACTCAGAAACGGCAATATAGGTGATAAAGAATAAGATATAATGTTCTATGCCCCTACATTAAACAGCAGTCTTCTAAGAAAAAAAAAAAATAAATTCACATGTACTTGGTGAAGATGAACACAAATTTCAAAAATTCTCCTGTACTCAAGGATCAGCTTTTTTTCAGTCTGGTTACAAAATGAATGCAGTTCATAAATGAAAAAGGAGCTCTGACTTCAAAGTAAAGGCTTAACATGACCCAATGCAGAAACGGGATGGAGATTATAACGTGTCACTAGCTGAAGCAGCATAGGTTGGAAGAACTCACCAGAATCATCTTCTGTTTTGGGGACTGTGAAATGGGTTAAACATGGTCTAAATAATAATGAAAAATTGCTTAAATCGTTTTGTTACTTTGTAAGAGAGTGAAATATTTTAAACAATCCAATTTTACAGATACTGTATTAACAATTCTTGTTATTGTCTTTAAATAGCTATTCCACAAAATGTAACAACAAAGTAGTCACAGTCCAAGAAACCACTCCAGAATAAAGCCTATTAGGTGTTAGTATGGTTATATTTGTACTGCAGCCAGTGGACAAACATTAAAGCTGAGATAGTTTCGCTTAAATGTTGGATTATATAGTGGATATCATTGTTTTCACAATAAATTCAATCATCTGCTTTGTATTGGTCTGACTCATTGATATTTCTCTAATGACAAAAGTACCACCGTATGTTTTATTCTGGTGTTTACAATTCTGCAAAATTACAAAGCCAAAAGTTAACTCGCACAATGAAGATCTGCCTTTCCTGAAGACTGGGTCCTCTCCGTGTGTTTTAATCCTTACTAGCGCAGCCTTTTTTTCTTTTGTTCTTTACACAATTGTGCCAGATGCTGCTAATTTGAGATCGAGTTACTAAATCAGTTAGTTAGAACATCAAAGGCTTGGGTGGACAGATACTGCAGCACAGATATGAAACATCACATTTTTGTCTGATGTCTATAGAGCTTGTTGGCGACTTTGTGAAACTGCTGACACAAAAGGCAGCCATCGAAGGCCTTTTGTAAGTTATCGTAATAAATACATTCATTGCTTTTATTTTGATTTGTTTATTACTGTACGTTTATGTGTGCTGTCCCAGCAAAGTGAAAAGAAAATTGAAGGAAATAATAAAAATAAAGCAGCTGCTTTGTGCAGGGCTTGACTTAACTGAGGACAGCGTGTTGTGAGATTATAGGGTTGAGGGTCAACCAGTTTTTATCCTGATTCTGAACTCACCAAAAGGAGATTCAGTGTGCCTTTTGCCAAGGTCTGCGGTATCACTAAAGTGCAAAGATCTGGAGCTAAACCGCTGTACGCATCAGGAAGAGTTTGAACCAAATAAGCAAGACTGATGCAAGGCCGTCAGGATTTTTGAAGTAAGGAACCAACAAAATTTCGGTAGGTGAGAAGGCTTATAACTTATGATTTCATGCACTATTTATGTACTCTGGATTAAAGCACTCTAATACCTGGCAAAAGGAGAGGAATTGCCAAGCTTGCCCTCCTGGAATTAGCAACTGCTGACGGCTAGCGGGAAAGCGGAGTGGAATTGCCAGAGCTGCCATTTACAGCAAGTGCTGCCTGGGAGCACCTTCTGTACGCGGCCTCGGTTTCGGGTAGCCACGCTCCGACGCCAGTGGCACCGAAAGCTGCCGAGGACGCTGGGCTGCTTGTGTGTGGCTGTGTCCGGGGCGGGGAGGGGGCGCGGGGGTGTGTGGTTAGACCTTAACGTAACCGGCAATTAAGATGATCTGCATGTGGTAATAAAACAAAGGATATATCAGAAAAATGCTACATGTACAAAAATATGACTTTCAACTTTGAAAATAAATAAGTTCAGTTTATTAAGAGCTGGTGTCAATGCTGAACAAAATACACATCCTCCAGTAAAGAAACATTTTGTTGAACTGTTCTTTTTTTTTTTTCTTCTTTTTTTTGATTTACTAAAATACGAGTTGGACCTTTTTTTTTTTAATTTTTGTAAATATATCATTTGTCTCCCTTAATTACATGTCCTTATAACCGTGACCATCATTCTCCTTTAAGCCAAAGACTGAGGTGTTCGGTGGTTTGGTTTTTTTTATTATTCTTAGGAGTCTGGCCACATATGCAGTTTTTTTAAGGGAAAATACTTGACAATGAAAAAAAAAAGAAAAATATAATTTTTTTCTAATAAATAAAAATAATTTAAAATGCTAGAGGCTATACATGACTAGTTTTGAGTATGTTCATTTATAAATGAAATAATAGTTTCCAAAATATGTGGAAGCAATATTAAAGGCAGACAAACAAAGATCTGTCTACTTTATTTTCCCATTAAGCTTGCCCTTCTTAACTTCTCCGTCAGTGGTTCAGCATGTAAGAGGAATAAATGTCACATCACCATTCATGAAGTTTGTCAGGCTTTAAAAAAATAGTTCTGGCCTCGAAGGAGTCAACATTCATCTTCAACTTCTCTGATTGGTGGTATCAAGCTGCTTGTCGATTTATATTGATTGATCTGATTGGCCATGTGAGTGCTCATGGGCTTGATTTGAATGTTTCTGGGATAGGCATTATCCGGCTCATCTGTAAACCATTTCTTTTCTGCTAAGGAGCAAAATGGGTAGAGACAGAATAAGGAGGGAAAATGAGAGTTTTAATTAGTGAAGCACAGATACACGTAAACACCAAAAAGAAAAAAAGAAAAAAAGAGGGGGGAGCAGTCAGTAAAGTTTATAGGGAAAAGGCAATCAATAGAAGGTGACTTTGACTAATCATTAGCAGTATAGTGCATTAGATTAATACCTCTGAAAATACTTTTCACGAAGGAGGATGACATGTTTGCACTTTTGATAGTAGAAGCTAAAGAAAACTGTCAATATGCGAGTTTGCTTGTTGAATGTGAGAGCGCTTTTTTTTGTTTCATGCTCAGGCGAACACCCTCTGATTCATTTACTGAAAAAATGATACAAATAAAAGGCTAACCTGAGAAGCCAGGGAGAGCAGACGGGATAAGGGTAATGTAGAAAAAGGGGATGTGAGCCCATATACAGAGGAACACTTAAAGAGTCAGAGGCTTCTCTGGACCATTTCAGCCTCGGGGTGGTCGCTGCCGCTGGCTCGGAAAGCATGCAGGAGAACGTAAAGAACTTTCCACGGTTGGTGCTAGAATAAATCGGGCTTGCATCCATGCTGCCGGGTGGCTGTGTTCCTGCACAGGAGGCCATTCTATTGCTACTAGCAACCTGGCTGCTCGGGCGCTACCCAACTCTCCGGCTTGGGAAGGAGTATGGAACACACCTGGTGCTGCAGATGAGTGTAGTAGGGGCTCAGACCAATCCTGAATGGATTGGTAGCGATACATGGGAGCAAGGCAAAGGAAGCAAGGACTTAAAGGAAGATAGAGCAGAAGCTGTTCTTTTAAATCTTTGGGCAGTGGTTGTTTCCGCGACCACGGGAAGAATTTGATGGTGCTGCCTGAGGGTGGGCTGGGAGCAGGGCGGGCGGGAGCGAGGGTGCCGAGAGGCTGCAGCCGTTCCCCAGCTGCTTATGACTGTGACCACTGTACGCGTTGCTCATACACAAACGTGGGCAAAAACTTCTTAAAATTCACAAAAGAAACAAAAAAGAGAAATAATTTTCTTAAGCCTTTGGAGAGCAATTACTGCTGCTATTTCTTAATGCAACTTTAAGACCAGGAGTTTCTAAGTCTTTGAATAGACCTGTCTTGTAGAGTGGCTTATGGCCATTAGGCGCTTGTCCTTTGACAAGCATTTGTGAACAGGTCTCCATTCTCACCCTCCTTCCCTGAATTCCAGAGGTGGACGTGCAGGGCAGTGGGCACTAGTGGTTCTGGGGATGGGGTTCTGCAACTGGGGCACATCGGAGCTGCTCTCTTACGTGTATGTACTCCCTCTTATTCTGTATCGAACCCAAAATGCTTCAGAAGCTTTCGTGTCTCACTTGCATAAGACAAAGTGCCACTTTTGCTTACCACTGAAATGCTCCTGCATCTGGACTGGAATCAGGGCAGGAGTGGAAGGGGTGTTCATTTTAAATAAATAAATAATAGCTAAAAAAAAGCAAAGCAATATCCACCTCGGAAACCCAAACAGAGAAAAGAAACTGGAAGACCAGGAAGAATAAAGGACAAATATCTGGGCAAAAATGCATACAAATGAACAACGAGCTTCCAAGCTAAGGCCTCTAAAGAAGTGGGCTGATTTCCAGAATTACTGGACTTCTCAGTCATTTTTGTGAATATGAAATTTAAACACTTATATTTGGCATGGATTTTAAGCATCTACATTCAACATCCTCACCCCGCAACAACAACCCCCAAACTCATGAGGGTTTAATCCATCTTTTTTTTTTCAGATATATTTGTTACCTGTGCTTATGCTTTTTAAAAAATTTAAATTGAAAAAAAGGAATTGTATTAATCATTACTGGCATATTACTGAAGGTAAACAGAACTACTATATTGTTCTTCTTGTCATTTTCTAAAATGTATTTTACTTCTTTTTAAAATATTTTACTCATTTGCGATCAGGGTAAATAGTTCCCTGCCGCCTTAAAGTTGCCTGAGTCTGAACAATGTTCAGCCTCCCATCTCTCTCTCTCTCTTACCTATTATAATTAAGTTCCCTTTGATTCGAACAGATTGGACGATAGGAATTCATAATGTTACATCCTGCACACTGAAGCTAACTGATTAAGTGCTTTAAATTATTCTTCCTGACAGAATGATAAAGTTACAATCTGTTCAGAGATGATCTACAGCTTGCCAGACTCCTACCGCTTCTTTCTACATTCATTTATCTTTTTGTCAAGCAGTTAAAAAAAAAGCAAGCCTCAATTCCATAGATCTTTTAAAGTCATCAGAACATCTGAATTATTAATGAGACTTTAAGGGAATGGTTCCTGATGGAGGCTGGTTTAAGAAAGGTTGTAGGAAAAAAAAAATCTGGGAATGTGTACACATCAAAATAATTTCAGCTCCATTTAAAAAACCATTTAGTTCAAGTGTGACACATGAACCATTATGCATTTGTGGAAACCAATTTTATGTGATCTACGATTAAACTAACCTTTCAGAGAGGTGTAAAGTGTGATGGTTATCATGTTTTAAAAGCCTTGCAAGATCACATAAACAATTTCAAACTAACAGTTTTCTAATGGTTTGTGTTTAAAATGATTTTGAGGCAAGTTAAGCACAGTGAACTTTTATCTCCACCTTCGTTTTTTTAACATATGGTGCACAAACTTTCCTTACAAACTTGGTGCAAGTTAATTCAATTTTGTAGCAAGAAAGGGGAGAACTGTGTGCGTGCTACGGATCAGGGATGAGCTGCGCTGTGTGCCTCAGCAGCCGGTGTAAAGCACGGCCATCCCCCCTGCTTTCCCCGCAATTTTCAAAACAAGGCAATTGGTTATATGCTAAACTTTACCATAAAACTCATACCCAGGGAGCTGGTCTTTAAAAAGACACCATCAAGTCTCTTTTTGCCTTTACGTGGCAAGTAACAAATATAGAAAATAACAAACGCAGAAACTGGTAGCTTCTCATTTCTTTTGCTGTTTAAACTTCTTACTGCCAGTGCTGAAACTTTGATCCAGTCATTCTCATCTCCAGCATCAAACGCCTGGACCCAGCTTTGTACCTTTCCTGTTCCTTTTCTGCTATTAAGATTGTCTTTGACCACAAAATGACGTATCTCCTGTGAAAGTCTATCGACCTCTATACTTACCTTTGAAATGTGAGATTGACACTCCTCATCTTTACTCTTGGCCACTAAGATATTCTGCTCCCGGTCACTAAATGTCCTTCTTGAACCCCTTCTGCACTTTTCAGTCTTTTTTTGTTATGCTCACAGTCTGAGTTCTTTGATATGTCTGCCAAAGTCTTCGCACAGATTTTTATGTATCATCTTAAACAAACTACTTACTCTTTCCTTTAAATCAGTCCAGAAAACCCCTTTTTAAGTCTTCATACATTGTTATATTCACCAACTTTTTTTTGGTTCTCTGTGATGTTCAGCCTGTTTCTCTCCCTTTTGGCATATGCATATTGATCCTTACCATATGTGTCGCTATGTTATAGCATAGTTTTCTATTTTAGTTTTTTAAGAGCTATGCAAGAGAGTGCCTGACCCTCCTACGCTACTTGACGGGTTTGTTTTTGACAGCATTACCTGAGAGATGTTGGAACAGCTAAGTATCTTCATGTATCAGAAAGCAGAAAACATTTATTTTCCTCTCAAACACCTGTGTTTGCAATGGGCTAGCAGCATCCCAGTGCGTCTGCGAGGTTCTAAAGGCTTCATGCTCTTATTACAAATAAATAAAAATTAACATCTTTCTTGTGTAAGAAAGACTGTTCACTGCAGCATAAAAAGATACAAATAATTAAAGTAAAATGATAAAAATACAGATTTCTTCAACTTGTGTAAGACTCTAGCAATTCTCTCCAACAGATTTATTGTTCTGGTACTTTAAAATTTCTGTTATTAATTTTGGACTGAGTAGCCATGTTAGAATAGATGTCACTGCAAAACACCCTCTCTTCTGAGCAGAGGCGAAACAAGCTAAACATGACTCAAATTTACTAAATCTGTATTTACTACATCTGTGTGCTCACCATAAACCCAGGTTACCTTACAATTGTTTTAAACATTCTTTTTTCTTTCATGACACTTGCAGTTTCAAGTGGGTCTGTATGTACGTGTTTGTGTGCCTCCCCTGCTCCATGCAGGCAGCTTGTTTAGAGCTAAGCTGAAAATTCTTCCATGCAATTTCTTCCTGTATGAGAAAAAAGTAACAAAATTTTCCCCATCCACCTGCTCAGCAATTCTTTGTTTGGCAGATGAATATTTTACATGTAGCAGGCAGTAAGTAATTTGCAGGGAGAGACAGAAGAAACTATTTCTACTTTCTGTGAAGGTCTTTGTTTTGCTCCAAAGCAACTGAAGTTTTGGGACAAAAATGGTACTCTGGATTTGCTCTTGCTGTTTTTTTTATTTAACTAGCAAAATTCTTACTTTTGACAATGGGGATGTCACTGGAAAATGCCTGACTCTGCCAGTTTAGGCCAATGGGAAGCCATGCCAAGAACCTGCAGGTTTGCTGGATGTGATTTTGTGTCGATACTCAGATCAAGGAAGTTACTAAGAACCACCTAGTTTCCCTTGTCGAAACCTTGCCGGGACTGATATAAGTGGCAGGACCTCGATTTAAAGCTGTAAAATGTCATCGCTTGCCAGTGGTGTTGCTTTTCCACTTTCACAAACTAACCAGGGTAGTTATTGATGTTTGACTTTTTTACTTGGGATAGGTTTCTGAACAAATGGGAGACTTCCTGTTACTGTTCAATATAAAAAGTTTTACAGCATAACATAGCTGATTTAAACATGCCTCTACTTGTAATGACCAACCGCCCCATTTCATTAGTATACCCATACCAGAAAATCTTCATCACTCTTATAAACTATTTGATCAATTTGACTATAGTTAGCACTAAAAATTGCACATGGTATAACTAAAAGTAAAACCTTTCAGACTTCTGACTTCGGTACAGAAGACAGAGGAGAATTAGACTCCAGTATAATTTGAAGAATCCAGATTTGCATCCATATTAGATATTCCTCTTCTGTTGCTCACAAAGTACACAAGTTGCTTCTCTAATGTACGCTGTTTCTATTTTTTCAATTTGAGCTGCACAGCTATACAAATACTATTTTTTGGATAAAATCATTACGTAGTATGTGACAAGTGGCTTCACATTAACACCCTTCCTTCCCCTGCTAAATGGAAAACAGATAAAACATTAATGGAAAAGCATTTTGGTGTCAAAGCCATTAACGTTCTTCCAAAATGCGTAACTGCTCTCGACTATCTTCAGTCAATATTGCCAACATAAAGAGATGCTCATGAACATACATGGGGGACAGGGGAGTAGGAAGGGGGAGGGAGAAAAGGAATTGGAGTGAGTAATGGGAAATTAAAAAAATGTCTGCACCAGGGTAGGCATCTTCACTGAGCAGTAACCTGGGTGTTTACAAAAGGACACGTGCAATTAGAAAGGCAAGCAGATGAGAGGATAAAAAATAAAACAGGGTAGAGCAACAGCAGCAGCAGCAGCAGCCAGTTTTACTTCTGGTTTGGAGGGAAAAAAAAGGCAAAAGAAAACCAACAAAACAATCAACCAAACAAACAAACCAATAACTGAATAAAGTTTGTAACTATTTTTTTTAATTTCACAAGTTTTCACAAGGACAAAGTTATAGAAGGAAACCCACAGCAGTTGCTAGGTCATGCAGAACCATTAATTGTCATACCTTGGCCCATTCTATTCATCCTTGTTGCACTTTAGAAAAAGAAGTAAGCTATGTAAGTTTTACAATGCTTTTAAACTGTCATACTTCCTGTTGAGCACTTTAACTGGCACATCCTTGTGGTAATAAATATTCTTAGGGCAAAACATGATAACTTTCTTTGCAAAAAAACCCCACATGAATTTGTCTTTATGATAAAAAGCAACTGTAATTGACTCATTTGTAGGGGAGCATCCATAATTTGCAACATATTTCACTGATAGGACTTACAGCTGCATTTGAATGCACACATGCATATATACTGTATTCCAATCTTTACGCTTAACGCTGCACAGTGGTACTCTCTGTAGCCCACTTACATGGTTCCAGGTTTTGTCAGTAAAAGTGCTTGGCTTCATTGTCAATTCACACAGCAAGCAAATCTTCAAAATTATCATGCTTGGGGAAGGGGAAGGTAGAAAACAACACTAACCATAAAAGCACCTTGTCTGGGTTGGCAGTTACAATGCCAATCACTCCCACATCCAAATACTTCTTTTCTGTCTGCGTGCTTTCTTGCTAGGTAGCCAGGGAAGGTGGTATATGTTTCTGTCCTCCTTATCCTGGGAAACTCCATACCACCTAGAACTATACTCTGGGTTCTATATTTCAAAAGGTTGGCATTTGAAGTTAAATTTAAAAAAAAACAAGCTTGAAGTATCACTTCTATGGCTGTCTAGGAGAGGTTCCTTTCCGCTATGTTTCATTCCCTGCCACAATTTTTGTTTGGCTAGGTGTGTCATTGGTGAGAATCTGCAAGAACCAAACTCTGGCAAGTACCTAGAACATGATGCCTCAGCACAGTGAACGTTTCCACCCCAGCCTTCTTGTTCTGCTCATTAGCTGTCTGGGGCACAGCACCGCTTCCTCCCAAATGGGAGAGACCTTAAAGGCACCCAGTTGTCTTCCCCTGTATTCCTGCATACTCAGTACTGCCATGTACCTGTTGAAAAGAACCAGCTAGAACATGGAGCAGGATTTCTGGAGGTTCCTCGCATATTAGGACTCTTGTTGGAAGATTTATACCACCACTCTAACTTGGAAAAGTTAAACGACCATCTGGGGAAAGGAACAAAGTCCCTTGAGATCTGATACTTAAGCATAGAAAAATGCTTGCTCTTTTCTGAACATTATTTATTCTGTACATAAGGTGACTAATTCACCTTTTAAAGACGTAAAAGTCCCAGGAAGGCAGTTTTTAATGACTTACATCCAATATTTATGATACATATGGCTTTTTATCCCAAATGTCAAAAGTGAAAGAAAATATAGCTATTCATGTGGCAGTGTAAATAGAATAATAATTTAATATGCAATTAGACTCTTTCTAAACTTAAATTAATACACTGGAGTTTTACAACTCCATGCCCAGACAATTTCAGTGTTAAAGGGAAAAGACACTATCTCCAAAAAGCTAGTACTTTAGAGAAAGCCCTTAAACAAGCAGAAAAGTCCCTGATGTTGCTTTGGTATAAAGCAGGTGCGTAGCAATAATCTATACAAAGAGTGTAAGCCCTATACAATATAAGCTTTGAGAGTGAAAAATCAGTAGGGATTTTTTTTTAATGAGTTAGTTAGTTTTTTATAAGCTTCAAATAAATGTAGCAACTCCTGTAAATATGAATATAAAAAACCTACCGCAACATATATCAACACTTATGCACTAAATTACTTTCTTTGTGTAACTCTGACATCAAGAGCAAGTGTTCATGTTAAATATACTCTATTTTCTGATATGTAGAGTAACTGCAGTGAGTTATTTATGTTTTCAGTGTGTCTATGGGTTTAGAATTTTTTTTCTCCCCTAGCATCATAAATAACTTTTGGTCCGTCTGCTTTGTTGCTGTTGTGCTTAAGGGTTTTATGGTGGTGAAATAAAAATGACAATCACATGCACACTGTCATACATATGCAAAATATGTGTACAAAAAGGGAGAACTCCATGGGAAAACAGGGAACATTACTGCTGGAAACATTAACTGGGGAGAATGGGTGGCAAATGCAAGTTTCACACACAGTGGGAGCAGGTACACATATCAAAGTCTATCTTCCTGCACATACTTCTGTTTTTCCCGGGAATCCCTGGTCTTGGTGCGGTTCGGTCGGTTTGCTGTTGATGGGATGGAGTGAACTGATGAGCTCTTCTTGCTGGAAGAATAGGAGGAATGGGAGGAATGAGAAAGACTGGCCCGGGACTGGCCAGCGTTGTGGTCAAATTGCATCAAACAGAAGATCAAGTCTGTCGGCACAAGCTCAAATTCATATGGTGGGTTTGTGATAACGTAACTGGAAAGAAAGGAAGAAAGAAAGAAAGAGAAAGCAGGTTTAGATTTGTACTTCTAGAGCTGTTATCTCATGAACATTTACCCAGATTTTTGCACTTCTGTTTCCTTCCGAGTGTACCTAATTTTAGCTCACATAATACCCATTATGATTTAGGACCTTCTTATGTCAGACACTTTTTTTTTTATGTTTTCTGTTGCACAGACATACTGTCTGAGTAGGATGTTCTTGAAGTGAATCCCATCATGATTTTTCAGAGAAGACACTATACAAATCGCCCTCCTTTCTCTAGCTGCACCATAATGCAATGACTCTAGCAAACAGATTTACATATTGACAAAAACCAGCAACAATATTCATGAATGGCTGAAAAGCAGGGAGAGGAGCATTTCAGGTGCAGTTATATTTAAATACATATTTACTATATATCTATTAGATATTTAAATACTGTCAATGGAGCAAGGGATATAATTATTTGTTTGGATTGTGACTGTACATAAAACAAGTTAAGGAAAATATATCAGCCAATTTGCAGTGAGGTTAATTTTGTTCATTCATTCCACATGAGGCCATATTCATGGCCTCCAAGAGTATTTATAAAGAGAAATCTGCACAGCCAAGAATCCAGCATTGCTAAGTATACATCCCAGGCCTGAAATAAAAACTCCAGCAATTTCAAGAATACCCACCTCAGACTAACCCCCTTTCAGGGTAGGAAGAGATTCTAGACCTTGCATCTAAATTTTTTTTTCACACACGTGAAAAACATATTTGCTAAGGCAATAGGCATTTTCTGTCCACATGAGAAATGAGTAAAAATTGATCAAGAAGCTCACAACTTCTTTTCAAATTAATTCAGTGCTCATCAAAAATCTGGCTTGGCTGCCTCAGGGACAGAAGTCACTCATTAATCCAAAAAATAGTCACAAGTATAGCAACTGCAGTGTAAATCTAAGCTGAAAATCATTTTTTCTACCCAATTTGTCCAAATCCTTACAGAAGAAACAGCTTTGGTGGGCTGCAGCATTGTTTATTGCCACCTTCATCCAATAATGATGCTTTTTGTAGAGACTGAAACCGTAACAGATGGTAGATTTGTGATAGTTCTGGCATGGGTCTGTGTGTACATTTCTAGTAGGCACTTAATTAAGGCACATTTCAAGTAAGCTGTTAAATGGCCTTCAGTCTGCAAAGATGGAAATGTGTCTGCTCTACTTAAAGCACTGAGGTCAGCCTTGGTGCTACTGAAGTAAAAATGCAGCCTACCAAGAGAAGGGTTTCCATTTACTGGAAGAAATTAGATACAGATAGTACCAATGGGAAGCCCACAGGAGTATTTTTTGAGCATTCAGAAAAAAGAAAGTCTAGCTACTATAATCTGAATTACTATCCAGTAACCTACAGCTGATTGATGAAAGCAAACTGAATTCCTTGTATGGAAGCTGTGGATCATCATAAATCAAACAAGATAAAGATACGTTCTGAAAATTTACTTTAAAAACTTTTGATTAAAATTAGCTGAAAACTTATGCTATGATATCCAGCCTATGATTTAAACTCAGATAAAGAGTTATCATGAAGTCTTCAAAGAGTTAGCTTTTGTTATGTAAAAAGTTAGCAAAGTTATGTAAAAAATTGAGAAAACTCTTTTTTAGATTTATTACAGGTATTGGGATCTTACTCACCGAGAAGACTGAAGAACAGTGAAGCAGAGATGTTCTAAAAGACTGGACTTACCGTTTAGTGCATTGGCTGGGAGTACTTAGATGTGCATCCCTTAATCGATAAATTCCAAAGCAAAGCATATTGTATGTTTTCAGTGCTTTACAAAATAGATCTCCGTAACAACCTCCATCCTAGGAGAAAGAAAGGAGAGGAAAAAGAAAAAAAAAAAAAAAAGAGGAAACAGCACATTTTTTTCCTTTCTTTTCTCTGTTAACAGAATGTCAGGGAACGGGATTTTCAGTATGAGCCTGTACAAAAAGGACAATGTATAGACAGTCTGTTGTTTGTCACAAATGAGAATCTTTTACTCAAGGGAATGAATAATCTGAATGTTTTATTTCAAATAAGTAATTATGTAAACTGATAATTATTTTGGAGAGCCTTAGTCCATGAAATGATGGTAAATTGGGAAGAGTGAGTGATTTGCTTTAAGCTGGAAATATAAATTTTGGTACCAAACAATGCATATTCTACAAATTACATTAGCTGTGATATTAAAATGGTTAGTATTTTTGACCCTTTTCTGGCAGTAGACATACTCTCATCTAGACAAATAAATTCACTGCAGAGCACAACAGAAATGAGAGTTCTGAGGGGCTGAAAGGATAATAAAATTTCTCCCGCTTTAAAATAATCACGAAATGTATGCCATTTTTCATAAATAATATAAAATGTTTTGATCAGCAAAAAAAAGTTTAGGTTTGATAATTTTTATATCTAAAGTATTGATTCTTAAGTAATGATGAGTGTTAATGCATTCTGCCTTCACTGATGTAGTGCAACTGGGGCTCTGGCAAAATAGCATTTGAAAGATTGGTATTGCTTGTTTTATTTGTGAAAATATTACGCCACATGCCCAAGTGTTTTGATGTGCTGTTAGCCTCAGCTATGAATGGGCTTCTACATGAACTGAAAGGCTTCTATAGTCATACAGGATCTTAAAAAGAATAAGTTTACTTATATGTGTGCACTCTCATCACCCTTAATCCTTAAACTGTGATTCCCCGTCATTTCTGTGAAGAAGGTCACTCCATTCTTTTTGAAGAGAGCTAGTGAGCACAAGTTTAATCAAAGCGAAGTGGGTGCTTTGGGATTCACCTCAAGATTACAATATTTGGTCCAGAGAATATTTCTAGATTCTTCTTTATCCAAAAGCACCATTTTTTCAAGATGGTTTGTTTATTTGATTTTGCTTTGGGGTTTTTTTTTACTTCATTCTTAGGCTAGTGTAATCAAAATGTCAGAAAATTAGTATTTTACAAGAATTTTAGTTCATCCAGAAACAGCAGAAAACAAACTTATAGCTTTATTTTGAAGCTAATAAGCATATTTTAAGCAACAACTGGAAGGTTGTGGAAAGACTAAATAAGCTTATCAAAACCAAGCAAAGGCATAGATATTGCTCATGTTTACAATGGATTATTGTTGGAATGGTTATATCATCCAAGTCAGCTCATTCACCTCTTTAGCTGACAACTAAGGAACACCACAGGATTTTCCAAACGATATATCATAGAATCACAGAATCATTAAGGCTGGAAAAGACCTCTAAGATCATCAAGTCCAACCATCAACCCAACACTACCATGCCCACTAAACCGTGTCCTGAAGTGCCACGTCCACACGTTTTTTGAACACTTCCAGGGATGGTGACTCAGCCACTTCCCTGGGCAGCCTGTTCCAATGCCTGACCGCTCGTTCAGTACAGACATTTTTCC